AGTCTATCTCTCTACCTATCTATCTAGCTACCTATCTATCTATCTAACTATCTAACTATCTAACTAGCTAACTATTTGTGAGTCTATCTGTCTATGTATCTATCTATCTGCCTGCCCACCTAGTTGCCTACCTATCCACATATCTATCCATGTATCCATCTGTATGACTGTATACACTCGAAAGGCAAGTGTTCGGCATCCTTCAGCCTTATCAGTTGATCTACACGGCAAACCGCAACAAGGCTGATCAGGCACCTTGCACGGAACCACTGTAGCTCAGAAGTCGACTCTGCACGCTGGTAAATCTTAACGCGAAGCCGTACGCTGGGAGCTGGCAGTAGCCCACACCGAGCTCATATCCGAACGGCGATCACGTCGACGTTTTGCTTTTCTTTCTCTGGCGAATGACTCTTGTTCAGAGTACCCATCGTGCTGACAATATGGACGAGGCTATTGGCGCCTCTCACATGCTAGCTTGAAGTAACCATGTGGTAGGGGTACTCCGAAGTCTGTGTTTTCTCTTTGACAAGCTGCCCTACCCCTACACGGGTGGTTTTTGCTGCTTGTGGTGTATGTGCGTCTGGATTCGGTCAGGCTCGCCCCTGCCACGAGCTCTCTTCGTGAACGACGTGGGGTACTTGCCCGATGGCACACCCCTGAACCAGGCAGGAAACGCCATCAACCACCCCGAAACTTGGCAAAGTGGTTTTGCATTTTCTTTCTTGCTGCCACTTCAGGGTATTTCGTTCATACTCTGGACATTGGCAATCCAGGAAACCATTGGAACCGATCCTCACTCTCCAGGGTCACCTCTCCCAGCGGCAAAATACGCTGCGGATGTGGGATATCTCGTGGATGGCACACCCTTGGATTCCGCGGGCAACAACGCAGTGCACTAAAGGTCGGTTACAAATGTAAGTGACACCAGATGTCACTAGTAGGTGGCGCCACTAGGCACCCAGCGCCGTGCCATGGCAAAGAGACGCATTTGAAGTGCAGAAAGGCTTGGAATCATTCTAATGCACTGTTGCTGTCATAGGGCCGTTTCAAGGCCACAGCGACACAGTGCACGACGACTGCTGATTATTTCGGTCAGTTGGCACGAGCTGGGCTCAATCCCATGCCAAAGGCCAAAAACCGTTCCACATGTTTCCGCTCGAGACCACCAGTCGGAGTAGAGTGGTTGCGCACGCACAGGACCTGCACAAACACAGGCAGGTGTTGCCATGAGTACGTACATAACTGTCTACATGCTATGTATGCGCACTGGATCTACTCATACACTCGCACTGGTCAGAGTACTCCGACCACGGCCTTGAGTGTCAGGAAGAATCTAACTTGAAGCGAAAAATGGCTTCATCCTGGCGTGCCGCCCTTGCCATAGATTCTTCTGTAGCTCGATTGAATCACAGCTCTCACAGGTATCCGTACAGATAGGGTCCAACAGCATCCAGTGACCTTTCAGATACTGTGCATAGAGAAAAGTCGCGAAGCTTGACAATGCTACTTGTCTGCGTCTTGCCATGGCCCCACCAACTTTGATCTAGGTACCGTAGCGTTTTGATTTCGGGCTAAGCAACATGGCCGTTTACTGCAAGCACACATCTGATTCGAAGAAGCAGGCGAGGTGATGTGTTGCCTCAGCTGAAGCCAGCGGTTGCGAGGTTCAGTTCCCCTCTATGTTTTGCCGTGAAGTGCCACTGGGAGATTTTTCTCAAAAGTGCTTGAAGGCGTAGCTGGGCGTAGCTTGTACTTTAATTTTTTCGTGTAGCTGTTCTCATTCTTGCTGTGCCTGCACCAGCTCAAAAACATTCCAAACACGGTCGGAACAGGAACAGGCAAGTTACAGTTCGAGACTTGAAGCAGCAAGAGTAGCCTCCGAACTTTCGAGCTGCAGAATCTCCCAAAGCGATAAACACATCAATAAAGATACGGTGGCTTCGAAATGCCTTGGCCTCACCTGAGCGAGCATGGACATGGACGCTTGCATCCTGGAGGCTTGGCAGAGGGCCAGGCGCTAGTCACCGCCAGTCGCTCTAACGACTCAGAGCTGTAGCAGTGTCCAAGGAGCGACTGACGGCAGAGTCAAAATGCTGACCCGAAGCTCTTTCAAGGTGGGGCGGGAATTTGTGATCTCGAAGTGCGACAAGCTGCCCTCTTCGGCTTGGCGACGCGTGTGTTCAGGCCTGCTGAATGCGGACGGAATGCTTAGTCTGTTCGGTATCCAATGTGTGCAAAACAGGAAGCCCGGGGGCGGCCGCTTCCCGAGGCCCTGCTTTCAGCACAGCCCAGGGCCTGGGTGACGCCAATCTGTAGCTTAAGCTGGGGTGACAGACAAAGCTTCTTGATGTAGCTAAGCTACTCATTCCAATGAGTCCGGCAAAGCGGCAGATGCCCAATTCTGGAAATTCAGCTCCGGACACCAATCGCCAGGATCTGCTGGACAAACAGTTCTGGCCTCGGCTAATTACTACACGCTTGAACTCTGGCCTCGTTTCAGAATTGATGCTTGGCCACTTGGGTTTCCATTGTTGAGAGAGTGAGACAAAGCGAGAGGCAAGGAGAGAGATGGGTCAGGCCGCGGTTTGTGACCAGAAGAAGAGTTCAGTCGTCGGCAAGGGGAGAGGTAACAAGAGGCGAAGGTCTACCAAGAAAGAAGTCGCAACTTACACGTGCACAGAGACTTGCATACATGTATGTAGAAATCAAGTTCTGTATACACGTTGCCAGGGCCGTGCGTGGCTTTCGATCTTGGGTATGGGGTGATGCCTGGGACACTTGGCAAGGGTTTGCCAACACTCGTATAAGACTTCTCTCCCCTGCATGGTGCTAGAAACCGCTTGTGGCTTCTTCATTCTGGTTGGGCACTTTGGTGCTGGTGCTTCGGCGAGGCTTTGCCATACATCGCACAAGACTTCTAATTCCTGCGTGGTGGTAGAAACTGTGCGTGACATTTTGATTTTGGGCATGGGGTGCTAGCTGTGGCGAGGATTGGCAAAGACTTGTACAGAAATATCCGTGCTTGGCAAATTAATCTCGGAATGAGAGTGAGAGGGAGAAAGGCAATATGGCGCCTCGAGCGAAGGGGTGGCCCGATGCCCGATGGAAGAAGAAACAGAGAGCGGTTGTTTTCGCCGAAAGCATATATGTATGCTGATCAGCGGCGTTTCTCCAAGGAACGGGAACGGGGTTCACAGCTCTCCTACAAAGCCCGAAATACGCGGGTGGTCCATCGGTCCGGGGAGCTTCGGATGCTCTTAATGCTCGGGAGAGAGACAGAGAGAGAGAGTCACGCTCTGAGGGTAGGGGACACCGACCCCTACGCCCAGCGGAAAGAAAGAAAGAAAGTCACGCTTTGGGTTGGGGGAGGGCTTTAGCAGCAGCCTGTCGCCACCGGCCGAACAGAATGAAGAGGACGAAAACCGTCTGAACACCCCAAAGCCTCTTCCCCACAAACGCATGAGGGAGGAGGGTGCCTCGGCGCGGGATGGCGCGGGTTCGCATAGCGGACCTGGACCCAGCGGAAGGAAGGAAAGAAGAGAGTCACGCTAAGCGACGCAGGCATCAAGAGCCTCAGGTTGTTACGAACCTTGGTGACTTTCCACTCCGAGTTTTACGAGCGCTCACGTTTTTTCTCACAGTGGGGACGAATTCGTAACCCCAGATCCACTTTGTGCCGGCTGGGATTAGTCCGTAAGACAGAGGAAGAACAAAAAGGTGAGAACAAGCCGCCAGCGGGCTTGTGGGGGACGGAGTTGGGATGGGGGTCGGTCTGTCAGTATGGGCGCTGACGTGCCGTTGGCAAAGCACTTCCCGTGCTTGTCCTGTTATGTCCTGCTTGCGCTGTCCAGGTGAATGTGCTCCCCGCAGATGGCGAGACACGCGAACCTGGGCAAGTTATCACGAAGGGCCTCATGATTTCGGACCGTTCATGTGTCGTGCATAATCGTGCATACAAGTCGCCAGCAACTCATCAGCAAGGCCGACGTGATCCGTGCTAGCTGCGAGCTGCGAATATGCGCTAAGGAGGATGACCGGTGGATGTCTCTGTTTCCCAGAGGGAGCGTGCGCGGCCCAAATGGTGCAGCTTTGTTTAGATGTCTTTCAGGTCTGGGAAAGATTGTTGCTGTTTGTGTCGCGATTTGATTTGAGCTGCTCCTCACCTTTCCATGCTTCACTCAGGCGGCCACGTTGGACCTCAACCCATCCCAGCACCAGCGGAAGAGTAGCGGCATGCGTACATCGCGGGCCGGTGCTTTTGCAGGTGAGCCCATCCTGCCTGGCCAGCGTTTCTGCGGCTTTGGCAGATACGGAGGCCGGGTGTCTTTGTTTGGGCGAGACGGCTTCAGCACACTTCGGCACCTGCAGCTGTCAAGAGGCAATCCTCCACACCATCAATCCGCAGGATCCACAGTTCCGTCTCGCGTGTGTGGCGATGATGCAGTATGCAGCAGATCTGCTCTTGAGAAGCCATTGCTCGGAAAAGCCGCAGCCACTCTTCACCAAGCCGTCTTTAAATCCGGCTTCTCTTTACGGTTTCAGGAGGCCATGGCAGCGCCGAGCACGGTGCCTCGAATGAAGGCTTCGGAATCGGATCAGCTGAGGAGTAGGAGTAGGAACATAAATTAAAGAAGACTGAGCAAAGCCAAGGAGACGCTCAAGATCGCCGATGGTACCACGATGGACCTCCAAGCTCACCATAGTCGCCAGCCTAGATTCGACAGCCTTGAAATTTGCTTGCAGGAGATTACAAGGCTTCCTGACATCGATGATGCGACATGGGCAGAGGCGAGGAATATTCACATTGAGGAAGCGGCGAAAGGTTCCAGCGCCCTTTGCAGGTGAAGCAGTATGTGGAGAGTCCGCCTGGCAGCAAGCAGTGATCTTCCAGGGAAGTACATGGACGGCCTATGCGCAGTGAGCGGTGGATGGGTGTTTTCCACCTAGGCAATCCCGAAACTGCCAAATCTCTGCAGAACTTCGCGAAGAATCCCGAGGTCTGCTTCCACCCGCTTTTGAAGGCTTCGTTCAGTCGTCTTCCCGTTCACACTGCAGGCGATGCGTGGCTGGCTTCAAACGCAGGCCATTGCAGAGCATTACAACACGTGGGAGTCTGAGAACAAGTGCGGATGTTCTTCTGAGCATTTCTGATCCATCAGAAGATGCTGGCAAAGAAGCTGCAAGAGCTTTCCTGAGGAAGCTCACCAGTGGAGATGCGCCAGTCCAGGTGCAAGTAGCCTTCTGAAGCCTCAGGCCCAAGTTCCTGTCCTCTGACAGGATCGCGTCAAGTCTTTGGAGCAGGATCCCGAGCTGAAGGAGATGTTCGAGGACGTCGCAGAGCTGTGCAGAAGACAAACTACTGATAGCTACCCATATGCTCATTGCAGTTCCTTTTTGGGGTTCATATTTGGAACCCTATAAGGTATATAATCCCCAAAAGGAAATACTATGGGGCCTATGGGTACTGTTCATGAAGCAGAATGGAGACGGCATTCCTGACCAGGACATCAAGAAAAACGGTATGGAGGCTGCCATGAAGTACTACCAGGACTGTGTAGTACCAGGTTCCGACTGCAGAGGTAAGCACTGCTGATCCCAGGACGAGACCTTGATGCTGAAGATCTCACAAAAGATGGGAGGCCTACCAGAAGACCTCCAGCCTGTTCTGAGAAAGATCGAGGAGCCATGACCCATCTAAGACTTTCAGATCCCTCCGATTTTTTTCTCCTCTCTCTCGTCCTGTCCCTCTCCGTGCGTGTGTACTCTTAAAACAAACGGCGTCGCGGGTACGTACATGCATACATACATGCACAAACATACATACGTACATACATACCTGGAAGCCTGCCCCAGCATCTACGTTGCATTGCTTGGTTGGCATTATCTGATGCGGTCGGACTCCGTGTCCTGGGTTACTGTTTGAGGATGGTCTGTGTGTCCTGGGTTCTTTGCTGTGCTCGGGTCCTAGTCACTGTTTCATCTGATCAGACTCTGGTTCTTGGCTTCTTTTTAGCTGCATTTTTGCTTCACCTGCAAGACTACACTGCAACGACACGCTATGCCGCTATGCCTTGTCGTGAGCAAAGTATGCCTGATGGTGGCACTGGAAGCAGGCTAGCGTACTTGGCGCTCTAGGGAAAGCGCCGGCGCTCTAAGTAAAGGGCCCGTAGCGCAGGGTGCGCTTATGCTCTTGCCTGAAATTCCCTGTTGTTTACAGCCATCCCCCAGCACATGCAGCATAATAAGGTGTCATAACAGTCTCTATGATCGAGCCATGATTGCGTCCGTCTGCGCGCGCAGAGAGTCACCGTAGGTTTCACCCCCAGTCGAGCATGTAAGGTGAGCAACCGAACATCTATCCCCCAGTGTGTATACAATTACAAGAGCTTCCATGCCCCAGCCATGATAGCATGCATCCATCCTCAAGCGCACAGGCTGGCCAGAGCATCCATGCCCTAGTCAGGATTGCATTCAACCGGCAGCCGATAAGGACCTGCTCGTTGTCTTATCATGTCATACTGAATTCACGACGCGCTCCCAAATCAGTCCATCCAAACATGCAAACATCCAAACATCCATCCACCCACCCATCCCCATACATACATCCTTACACCGTATACACCGCATGCATAGCACGCATACATACATACATACATACATACATACATAGATACATACATACATGCATACATACATATGTACATGCATACA